GATTTCTTGGATAGGGAGGAATCACGGAAAAACTTTTTGATTTCTTATCTGTCTCGAATCACATTCAAAGTGACGACTGCTTGGTAACTGATACTGGAGGGAACATCAATGTTGCAGTCAAGTGAATGGGAAGGTTCGATAGCTGCTTTTCTTGAGTTTGGTTGTGTTCGGTTAGCTTCAAGTTTGAGCCACCCACGCCGGTCGGTGCGTTGGCTATTCATCTTGGCTGTTTTTCGCCAAAAAAGCCTCTGGGCCACACTGAAGGAGTTGGGCTGATTTCGCAATTACTTGATTCAGGAAAACTTGCTCGCTGCAAATGATGAATGAGGGAAATTATCTGTTTTCAAAAGGTGGGAGAAAAGTCTCTCAACGCGTTATATGCTGTCACGACATTTTGACCTATCACGCCTCCAATATTTATATTACTAGGACGTCGAAGCCAGCAGTAATATACGTCTACATGGGTCAGGTAGACCGGCCACAAAAAAATACTAATTTTCTCCGTTCAGGATTTGAAGCAAAGTTCAGTGCAGAGAGGTTCTGCGTGAATCTTCAATGAAGTCTCTCTTCAGTTTGTCTCCGTGCTGCCGGCTATACAACCATTTGGCTATGTTTAAGTAATATGTCTCCGTCTGTCAAATATACTTTTATTCAGCAGCTCACCTAATAGCTAGTCTACTAAGCGCATATTTCAACCCGAAGGATATACTAATATCGCTTTGGTGGGACCCCCCCCCCATAGTACGTAATATAATACATAACCCGCTCGTCAAAATGACTTCTCGATTGCTACTAAAACCTGAATTGAAATACGAGTATCAGCTGCCTAGTGGGGCGCCGGCGGGTTAACATGGTCCTTGGCTCAAGAAGCGGTTGCTTAATTTTCGAAATCTTCCTGCAGCCAGTGTTGTTGGCCGAGCAGACGACTGGAGCTGTTTCGTAAACGCGGATACGCACAAAAGCTCGACTTCGCAGACAGATAAGTCGCATGATCGAGGCATGCGAGTTAGCTGAAAAGTTACTCTCTGTGGAACAATTCTGTAGTCATCGCCGCTTTCCTTAGATGATCAAAACTGATTAGTATGTTACCGTCTCTCCGGAGCCCATAGTTTCGGTTTTGAACGAAATCTCCGAAACGAAAGTTTGACACGAAAAGAACAAACAAACACCGGCAAAACAAAACTATGCTCTGCAAGTTTATCTGCACCGGCTACACTTAACCGTCTCAGTTCAAATACCTATAAAATTGGGCATTAAACAAAAGAAAATCTGTTAAATTGAACGCGCCACCTGTTCAGGCGGCCCGGCCGAGCCGCCGCGACCTGGACTCAGCCGCCATGTTTGTTTGGTGGTGGCGCCCCCTATAGGTCGCTGGAGTCGCGAATACCAGCCCACTAATCTTTCAGTGTTGCTGGACTGAAGTAAATGAATGTGGAACCATGGCTGAATTAGGCAACGTCGATAACATGCTGTAAAAGCTTTATTCTCACTATCTTGCCTATCCACATTGAGCTGATTCAGGGAAACCATGAACTTTCTCGCTTTCCAAGTCAGTTATAAAAATTGTAGAAGAGTCCGGTGACGGCAGTGCCCCCCAGTGGGGGAACACCACCTATGGCTACATAGTTACGGTGCCCTACAAAAGATGGCACGTGGCGCACAAAATTAATAACGTTGCATCGTAAATTAAAAAAAAAAAAAAGATGCATATAAGTTGCATTGTTGTATAAAACACAACAAGAAAAAAAGTTTGAAAAAAAGCGTGACACACACATCATAAAATACGGTATCTGGTATAGTCCTGTGGCGCAACAGCACTTAAGCCTACTATGTGTTCGTCTTGCTCGGTACATAACACTTTTCTAAAGAGAAGACTGTACGTGCTCATAAGGTTCTTATGTGGCCCAGAGAACTGTGGGCAGAGCAGCAAAAGGTTGAATTAAAACTTTTTAACCTTTTAAATCAGCAAAAGGTATTCCAGACTAACAGAAAGGAGTAATGACCATCGTAGTGCAATGGCACCAAGTGCATTCATATGTACCATAATACCCCGAGGGATTTCCCACCCCCGAAAATTGACCCACCCCTATTTTTGGCAGGATTTGCAATTTTTTCAGAAAAGCTTAAAGATAGCCCAGTTCTAGGAATTGCTGGGCCCTGGCCTATGGTGACCATGGCAGAAATGGTGTTGCCCACGGCAGGAGTAAGCGAACATTGCTGGCTAAAAGGACAGTCATCTTTGATTCATCGCTTCTGCCTGCATTCGCAAGTTTTGCAAGTCACAGAATCTAAAACTAGCATTTCTTCAACCTTTTTCTTAGTGCACACCGATAGTAAGCTTACTACTTATTTTCACCCAATTTGTTTTCGATTTTAGGTGGGCTATGTCAGGATATGACGGTTGTGTGACCGTAAGACCTTATACTACGCCCGATTTGATCAAGCCACACTCCAGTCGTTCCCAAGGAAGTCGCACAACACAGCAAGTGCAATCAAACGATTAACTAACTTGCATTCCGTCGCCCCAAGTCTCGTTCGCCTCCGGTGTCGGCTGCAACTGAACAGCTCCTTCCATGAGGACTACTCTCAAGGCCCTCTACTAAAGGCTACCTATGAGTCGAGTCTTTCTTTACCCAAGACCTCCGATGAAGCCTCCCGATAGAGACCCCATGGGGACTGGCCATCAAAGACTCCTTACTCTAGACCCTAACTGAAGATCGTCAAATTGAGTCTCTCTAAACTGCTGCCCGTCATCTCCTTATATAGCCTGCCCGACCGTTTGTCTCTTGCCCCTCCCGCTCCCACCGAAAATATTGTGTTCATAAAAGGCCACGGGCGAGCACCACGGCACCTGTCTGGCGAGAAGTCCCGGCTCAGTACTGTGACGTGAACCTCAACGGATGTTCGCTGGTAGGCAGGCGGGGCACGCCATCGTCAGCTCTCTTTATTTGATAGGATTCAAAGGGGTCCAGACTGGCGGGGAATGTCGGCTTTGGCACTGGAGACGTTCGAGGAGTCAACACGGGTTCATACCGACGGGGAATACAGGCTTTGGCACTGGGACGGGGCGACAAAGCCAAAGGTTCTCTACACGGTACTGCTATAGTTTTGTACATGTTCGAGAGTCACTTGTTGGGCCAAGTTGCTCCCCCTAATGCTGCCCTTTGGTACTTTACGCGTTTGCTGAAAAGGGTTCTAAAGTTTTCTCGTATTTGCATGTACTAATTTACTGTGAATGACTTATTTTTCGTGGGCTCAATATTTCGCGATTTAGGTCAAAGCTGAAGTTTGGAATAATTCACGGGTTCTAATTTTCGTGATGTGGTGAGATTTCAATATAGATTCTAATGTATTTATATTTTGTTGAAATTGTTCGCGGGACCTATTTTTCGCAAATTGTAGGCGATTCGCAAAATTTCGAAAATTAGGTTGTTTACATTATATATATATATATATATATATATATATATATATATATATATATATATATATATATATATATAAAAAAAGAGCTCTTTCTAATTTGCACCAGCTCCAAATGGAATAGGCTGCTCAGAATTAATTGTATTTACTTTACACGAGATGTTTATTAGTTCCTTTTATACGAGGGACATACCATATTCATTTACAATTTACTGTTTTTGCCCTCCGGATACTGGCCACTTGGAGGTCAGCAGATATGTCCACCTTCTCAACACACTCTTCCTAGAGCCTAAAGCACTCGCACCACCGGTGTGGCAACTTTTTCATGTTCTGCTGGAACCACTTTTTGGAAGTGCATCGCACCTACACCTGTACTGCTGCTTCCATCTTTTCAGTGACTGCAAAATGGCATCTTCATAGGTTTTTTTTTTATAGACTGGTGATAACCACTGGGGGCCAGATCAGACTGAACACATGCACAATGAAGAGCCTGACAGGTCGTATGACTTGTCAGAAAGATGGCCGAACCTCATCAGGTGCCGGCCAATCACGGCATTGTGTGCATTCATGTGAGGCCATGATTGATTGGCACCTAGTCGGGTTTGGCCATCTTTCTGATGCGTCAAACGACCTGTCGTACGTTTCGTCGTGCATGTGTTTGGCCCAGCCGGACCCCCAGTGATTACCACCTGTCTGTGAACCTGTAAAAACCTCTGTGAGGTCGCTTTTTCGCAGTCATTGACAAGCTGAAAGCAGCTGTCCAGGTGCAGGTGCGAAGCACTTCCAAGAGTTGCTCCGGCAGGGCACTGAAAGGCTGGCACACAGACGGTGCAAGTGCATTCGGCTCCAGTGGAGCCTGTTGAGAAGGTGAACATATCCACCAAGCTCTAAGTGGTCGGAATTCGCAGTAAACTCATGAACACAAAAATCAACATGCTACGCCCCTCGAATGCATTTTCTTCTTTCTTGCATTTTCCTATTCACAGATATTCCTGCCATTTTCTTCTGTGTGCATGCTGTACATTTCTTTTTTTTTACCATTTGATTTTCTTGTTTAGCTGTTTTGTATTAAATTCATTCCTGCTCTTTTCTGAAGCCTAAAGACCTTTGTAAATACAAATAAATGAATAAATTTGCTTGGCAGTTTGGTTTTCAATATTTATTTCTGCAGGCTAATCTTAGTGATACCTTTGTTTTTTCATGCTGAGGCATGTTCTGTCTTACCGTGAAACACCTGGCATTGCCCTATCAAAATTTAGAGATAATCACGAAAAAATGGGGGATTGATGCTTGTCCGGTCATCAGTTTTGCATGTCAATGTACTGTGCACATTTTCTCCGATCTTACAAATTTGGGAATAGGCGCTTAGTGTATAATGGATGGATGTGCGGTATTCTACGATAGTGCATAGAAACATGGGGCTTTCTTTGCATAAGCTTAATATAGTAGAAAGAATGTGATTTATGAATAAAAAAAAAAAAGCCACTTTGCCGTACTGAGCGATGTCTCTACAAGATGTGAGCATCAATCTCTGCAAGTTGAAATCTTGAAGTAGCTCTGCTACCTTTCTCTTCCAGGTGTGGACAGACTCCTTCCTCATTTGGATCGCAGTAAGGTATGGTGATGTAATTATGACTCGTCTTTTTATTGGTCACTGTAGTGCATTGTCATTCGGCAGACTAACATGCTTTTTGTCTGATACCACTGTAGCCACCACCCACATATACCATAACCCGTGCCTTCTGCTTTGGAATACTTATGGCGGAATATGTTGTTGCTGGAATCATCAACATCGAGAGGGGCCTTTACAGCTACTACGATCTTCAGAAAAAGAAAGAGTGGTAGGGTATTTAAGGTGTCTTTGCATGACTATTTTGTTAGTGTTTTCAACAATACTGTGCCATGAGAAACTACGACTGTATTCTGTTTCACCTTGCAACGAACCACGTAGGGCGCTACAATCAATCCCAGCCATTCCAGTGGCGTGTGAGCGTTAAGTAATCTTCAAAAGAGGCATAGCTATGTGTGGGGCACGTAATCATATGGTAAATTCCCCGCACTGGATTGGTTCGGATAACTCGAAGCGTTTGCTGCAGTCTATCATAGAGCGACTTGTACTTTTACTTTCACTGCTATTAATACATAAAATTAGCTGGGGGAAGATTTGCTAGGCTCGGGGGCAGACTTACCAATAGGTATGGTAGACAGCTGCCTAGAGCAACAAAATTTGTGGGACAGCAAATTTCGTGGGGCGGCGAAGTTCGAAAGATGGAGAGAATTGCACTGATCCTGTTACAGCTAACTCTATGCACACAGCACGTGGGAGCCACGATCCATTTTAAAATTGCCGTCGAAAATGGATTGCAGCACAGATACCTGTCATGTATAACACCGGTTTATGGCATTCACTGTTTGAGTGAGCTTCATAGTCATCTTGCTGTAAGCTTCAAAAAACTGTTTGCCTTTGGAAGACAGGTTTTGACAAACTGGAAACCATACTTCCAGTGTATCAAAATTCTGATGCATGCACTTCTGAAACACACATGGGCAACTTCACTTGTTTTGCACACCGGTCTCAGTCTATGGCATATAAACTGACTAAAATTTTGTTTTGAACATTCTCCTAAAGGGGGTTAAGGGAGGGAGGGAGGCACACAGGCAGCCAGGCGGGCAGGCTTTGCCACTTACAAAAGTGCCTATGGCAGCTAAGTGCCAAATCCACTTCTGGGTAGGTTTCTTTGAAATTATTTGATTTACTCATAAGAGAGACAAGGTTGTACAGAGCACAAGACTGTTACCGCGAACAAGCGATCGCCGGTTTTTCTAGTTTTTCTCTTTGAAACCAAGGGTTATCATCCAAGTTATTATTGCTACGGAAAGAGTTCATTTAGTTCTATAACGTAAGCGATAAAATTTTGTGCTCGCTAATACTATTTAGAAGTAAAATGCGAAAATGCGCCGATGTCGTGTTAGCGCTAACAGTGTCGCGATGTGTACCTACAGAAATGGCAAGATTCCAAAGCTTGACATCACATTTGCCTTGTTTACCTAGTAGTAGACGATGCAAAGAGTGTGAGCCCAAATTGCCGATAGCCGAATTGCATACAGATGCAAATGCCCAGCAGTTTCTGATATTGTAGTCAACTTGCAACCATGTTGCAACCATGCACTTGTACGAAGTTCTATACAAAGGCCGTACAAATGCATGGCCTCAACCAGACCAGTCTTTGGAGTCTACAAGTGGAGTGCGGCATAGTTTGAAGCTCTTCAGGTGAAAAAGTGAAAAAAAAAAAAGGTCTTTCCACTGTTACTAGAGCAAAACATTTTGTTTTATTATGGAAACACTTCTTTTTTTTTTCAGGCTTGATCACGGATCATTGCAATTCCGGACGCTGTCTGACCTGACTGTGGGCATTTTGGGAGCTGGAGTCATTGGACAAGAAAGTATGTACAGTGCCTCTTTGCTGTATTTTTCTGAAGGGTTAATGCCATCAGTGTCTTATTATGTCATGCTAAAGAAGAGAATTGGGCACAAGTTTGGAGATTTGACCATTGCGTTATCTCTTCTGTTGGAGAAAGACATAATATGACAAGTTTGTTTTCTTCAAAGTCCAGGGATTCATATTCTTCTTTTGCACAGTGTCTTGTTTAGGCTACTATTTGTGGATGCGACTGTCCTGACCATTTTCATTCCCATCTCCTGAGATGCATACTTTTAATTCAGTACTTATACACTGATAATCATTAGAGAGCATCTTGAACATGGAAGGCAATCTATTTTAGTTTAATGACATTCTCTGGCCTCAGCATCTCGGTTGTTTCAGGTCAACCGTGACTTCACCATCGCCTCTGCTGACAAGCTGGTCAACGTTTTGTGAATAGGCTAATCATTTTTAATATACTGTGTGCAATATACAGTCACCGGCGATATAAGCTGGAATGCACGAGTGATGACCATGCAGAACAGACCATGCACCTGACTCGCACACATGGTAGTCTGCGAGTCAGGTGCATGCTTTAGGTGTGTGCTCACTATCAGGCATCATATCAGCGGGATGTGCATCTACAAATTTGAACACTGGTACTGATCACTAGACTGCGTGGTCTGTACTGCCTGGTCACCGCTTGCGCCACAGTGTAGGAAGACTGAGGTGGACTATTGTAGTCTCCAGAAGCGTCAAACTTTTGTTTTCATTTTTTATGCGCACCACCGGATGGCATTATGGTCGTCGAGGCTGACGATACTCGTCCTCTACACATGGAGTGAAACGCTTAGCAACTGCAGCGAAGCTTTGCACTTGCTGAACTGAACGTGACAGTTAAATATGGCACTTTTTAAGCGGCGGGAAATATTCCTGATGTTACATAGGGATATTAACCGTTCAAATAAATAAATAACAGGTTTTTGGCTGGTGTCATTCTTAGCATTCGTATGTGTAGGCACATGCTTTCTTTTTTTCTGAAACAAGTAACACACACATGCTGGGTTGTGGAATGGTAAAAATTGGGGTGTATACAGAGCTAGGGATGCCGCAAACTTTTTTGGAACCAAAGGTTCGATGATCGAATTAAATGGTTTGAAAGATTTCGAATTTTCGAACTTTCCATATCGAGAGCTTCGACGGAAGTAGAATTTTCAAGCTTGTTAAACTAATCAGTTCGACGCTTTTCGAATTTTGCCCGTTCAGAAATGCAATGTTTTTCGAACCTTCAAGCTTATTATGCTAAAAAGTTTGATTCTTTTTGAACTTTCAAATTTATTACATGGCAAAGTTCGATGCTTGTCAAACTTTCGAACTTGATAGACTAAAAAATTCAATAATTTTCGAACTTTCAAACTTCTTGCATTAGAACGTTTGAAGCTTTTCGAACTTTCAGATTCCCTATGCTAAGAATGTAAATAATTTTCGAACTTTCGAACTTGTTTATCTAAAGTATTCTAAAATTTTTTAACTTTTGAATCCTGAGAAGTCAAAAGTTCGGCGAACTTCAAACTTTTAAGGTAAATGTTCGAAGTTCGGCGAACTTCAAAAGATCATTATAGACTTGGGCGTGTTGGTGATCTACATTGACTTAAAACGAAAGAAACACACAAGAGGACGAAACAGATGACACAGCTCTCGTCCGTTTCGTCCTCTTGTGTGTTTCTTTCGTTTTAAGTCAATTCAAAAGATCGGCGGGCGGTTTCATTTGGATTCAGTCAATAAAATACATTCATAATTTTTTTTTTTTTTGTATTTTTGCATGCAGTGTCGCATTCCTTGCGAAAGACAATGCCGTTTATTTCAATGTTCTGGCATGCTCATTTTTAAAGAAATAAATTCTGGAAGGACGATGGGTTTTTGACAATTGTTGTTTGTGCTATATTTCAAGCGCGCTATAGCCAAAGCTATTTATGGTAGAGATGTTACACTTTTTAAGAATGATCTATGTATAGCCTAGGTAAGTGTCGTCTTAAGATACGATAATTGTTGTTCCAGACGAGATTCAAAGAAATGTCCAAACATGTATCTGCTGGCAATTATGCCCTACACATGGTAATTTTTTTTTTCTAAACTGTTTCAGGTATCTTATTTAAATTAACACCACAGACAGTACATATCATTACCATCTACAGAATACAAAATAATGTATTTATTGTTTTTTTCACGTTGGAGGAATAAATTAACTCATGGGAGAAGATTTCTAATACTGTTCAAGTTCAGCACGTCATAAAAAAGAAGCCATTTTGAATTATTTTTTATTTTCTTATTTCGCATTCCTGGTACATGTTTCTTTTAGCCTGTACACATTTTGGTAAAAGAAACTTGTTTCGAAGTTCTGGGCCTCTGAATATGCAAGAACACAAGACTTCCGATGGGTTCTTCATATTTTTTTTTTCTCTCCAGCTCTTCATTCCCGCATTTATTGCTATTCTTTTTTTTTTTTCTTTTACCAATGGCACAGTTATTTAGGTCGAAAAGACATAGCTTTGAACTTCCAGACCACTTGGCACGTGATGAGTAGTGCCTTCTGAAGAGTTTTTAACAATGACAATCTACGCTATCTTTTATGCAGTGAAGAGTGCGACAGTAGCTATACACATGCATAAATAATTTCAGAGTAAAATAAGCTCGATCACGCCCTTTTTCCCCGTATCGTTTTCTTTAACAGTCCGAAATATTGGGGGGGGAGGGACTGGAGCCTTCCCCCCACCCTTTCCCCCGGTCTTGCGACGCCAGTGGTATCGCAGAACGCTCCTCGACCTCGAGTTGTGTCGGCTTCTGTGCTTTTTGCTCGGCGTCTCTTCCGTCCCGGAAAATAAACCTCCAAAGCAATTAGAAACTAAAAAATTGTCAAGGTGCAGGTGAGCTGGTGTATGTTGATCATAATGCAAAATCCTGAGGCTGGGAATGAAATTCGAAAGAAAAAGTGTAAGAAGAAAGAAAAAAGGGGACAGGACAATGTTTCAAACTCAGCTGAGTTGAGTATGAGGCGTTGTCCTGAGCTGAGTTTTCAGCTGAGTTGAGTTTGAGACGTTCCTGAGTTGAGTTTAAGACGTCGTGCCCCTTTTTTCTCTCTTCTTCCACTTTTTTTTTCAAATTGCATTCCCAGAGCTGAGTTTGAGGCATTGTCCTGTCCCCTTTTCTCTGTCTTCTTAAGGTCCGTTCACAATGTTGCAACCGAGTACGACCGAGAGAGACCAGACCGGTTTTTAAGCCTCTTGCGATGTCTTGGGACTAGATGTGCTGCAGCGGAGCTGGTCTTGAGACGTCGCAAGGGGCTGAAAAACCGGTCTGGTCTCTCTCGGTCGTACTCAGTTGCAAAAGTGTGAACGGACCTTTACACTTTTTCTTTCAAATTCCATTCCCAGTCTCAGGATTTTGCATCATATACAAACTAAACTTACTATATGCCAGCGTCACTCAGGCAGCGTTCGATCGGATTACTTCCAGCGTGCGAGGGGGTAGGGAGGCAGTTTGCCAGATCGCTGCAAGGTTTCGGACGTATGCGCTCGTCAACAATCAATCCGTCGACGAATATTTGGATTCGCGTTCGTGGCCAATGAGTGCCCTGACGGAACATATTGTCACTGGGGAATGACAAGTTCTATGGTGTGCATAAAAAGCACGGTGGAACCCAGGAGTCATCGCACTGGTGCCGAAGGAATGTCACGACTACGTGATTTCACAATTCGCATTTGAGTTGAGGATTAAAGCTAAGGAGGAAGAAGTAGAAAAATCGTTTCATGACCCCTTTAAGGCCACGGTCCCACTGAATGTGGCAGTTTAGGTGCTTTTTGTCAGGTCATTACTCGTCTCCTCTTAAATACTGTAATGCGGAATTGATGTCATTCGAAAGGCAATGCAGTCCTCTTTCATTTTATATTATGTATGTGTTGGTTTTTTCTGTTCATGCGCGTTTCTAGCGTTGCGAATATGATGGCGTGGACCCTCACTTGCTCCGCTAGTTCATGTTTTATGAACGATCCATTAAAGATAGCACGGTTCCAATATAGCAGTTTTGTTAAGATGATGTTGGAGCAGGATGTAACGATACACTTTTTTGGTATTTGCAATAATTTGTTTTTTTCATTCCTCCAAATATTGCCCTAAAATTGACATTTTACAGCACAAGTATGTTTTTAATGACAAGCACTAGGGTAATGAAATTAGCTACAGATATAGTGCTTATAATTGGTAATATACAGAAAAAAATTTAATGTTGTGTAAATTTTGTTTGTTTATATATTTTATATCAAACGTAGCACTTTTTTGTGCTTCGGGCCATGGTACTTCAAATGTCGCTGAGGAAATAATTAAACTATGATAAAATCTTTTATAACATTTAGATCTACAATGGTTGCCCAAGAGGTGGACGATGGCTTTTTTTCATTTTCAAAGTCATAACGCTCTAGGAGCCCTTCAAACTTACCTGTTTTTGACGCATATCTTTTTTTGACATCAAACAGATTTGTTGGAATCTAATAACATTTATTGGTTGGAATAGATATACATTACAATGTATTACATTTTCACAATGATCTTGCTTTGGTTTCTTAATAGGTGTAGATCTTAGCTAATTTTAAAAACAATTAAAAACTGTTAGGGTGTTTTGTTGCGCTACCTGGTGGATGGCAGACAAACTGCTGATTTCTAATGTTATTGCTTCGGCGGGTGTTTTTACCGTGTAAGATGAGACTGTCGCTTGCTGCTGGAACAAGAACCTGGCGATTCTTCACCGAACTGCTCCTTCCGTAAGCTTCAAAAGGGCTTTTTTCGTTTCGCACACCATCTGTTCTGCTTGCCCGTTAGTTGCAGGATGATATGGTGCAATAATTTGATGCCTGATGCGTCTTTGTTTTTTTTTTTCTTCAAAAACTTTTTTATTTTATCTGTAGCAAGATTTGGCGCGTTTTCAGAGAAAAGAATTTTCGGTGGGGCAAAAGTAGGTAAAAGAGACCG